CGATTGGGGCAGCTCCGTATAGCGATCCCCAAAAAGGGATCGCTATACGGATTCTTCGTTATACGGTGCACTCGTTAAGCGAGGCACCACTGTACTGTATTTGGTTTTTAATCTTTATTTTTTGGAAGTAACCTAGTGTTCTAATGACTTGCTTTCACTTTTGACTGATTTGCTGAAATGTTAGGCCCAGAATGTTAACCTCCTCCACCACCACCACCTCCTCCTCCTTCTTCTTCGCTCTGTGGAAGTGTAGCACTTAGTGACACTATACAAGTTATTTTTTCTAGCATACATACAGATCGGTAGAGCCGGGAATGCTGAAAAAGGATGTGCCTTTTAATAGTGAACAGTGTAGTAAGAATCTACCGTATTTGCCGGTGAATAAAGTGACTGGGCGTATAAGACGACCCCCCAACATTCCTACTCAGAATGAAGAGTTTGTTATATACTTGCTGTATAAGACTACCCCCTCTTCCGCATGTGTGATTCTGCTTTGGCTGCATCATGGGGAGAGTTCCTTTTTCTCCTTTTGGTTCCTTTTCAGAGAGAGCAAGGGTTTGCTGGAAGAAGGAAAAACAAAGAGGCGGCAGCCATTTTGAGAGGCAGCAGCCATGTGGTCGCATCTCAAAATGGCTGCCGCCTCTCTGCTGTTCCCGACAGTCAGCTGTTCGGCGCTAGAGTCAGGCTGTTCCCAGGCTAGGAGCAGGGCTGTACTGGGTCTTACTACCAGGTAAGTGACTTCGCTGGGAGAGAGGGAGGGTTTGCTGGACATGCACCCGGCGTACAAGACGACCCCCACACTTGGAGGCATGTTTTTCAGGGCCAAAAAGTCATCTTGTACACAAATATGGTATCTATTTTACAAGATATTAAGGAAGCAGTTATATGGGAAATAATCTTTATGTTAAGGAAAGGTAGTGCATATAGTGGCATATGCCAAATTGGTATATAACACCATTAGTTAATGTACATGCTGTGTGAACTACAGCTGAGAGACTTATTATTCTAATTTTCAGAAGCTATATGCAGTCTTAGACTTCCAGGGAGAACACACGTTTAACTGCTATGTGTTCTTCTGCTATGTGGTATGCCCATTGTGTAGAATGAATAATACTGTATAATTGTACAACTGATCTTGAAATTGTTTTAATTGTTTTAATCAATCCACATAATTTGAGATTTCGTCTTGAATTAATGATTTTTATGGATAAAGAACAATTGCGTCCTCTATGCCACCAGGCAGAGAGAGGTGTTCATTAAGCCAAAATCAACACGAACTGATAAATCAGGGTTTATGAAACTAGGATCTGAAGCCACAATTAGATAGGGGGTTGCTGAGTGTGGTTAGCTAGGAACAGACAACTTGCTGGCCTCAAATTGTTGGGGACTGAGCTCCTATAAGGCCCAACCAATATTGCCAGTGATCTGTTGTTCAGGGATTTTGTTTCCATCTCATAGTGTAAGGTGTCTGGAGGATGCTAGGTTGCCTTTTCTTTCTTTGGGCAAGCCATAGTTTATCGTTGAAGCTAATTTCAGAAATCATGAATTGGGGAGTTCATTTGACCTTACCAGGCCACTTTTGAGGTAGCACCAAAGCTGTCACAGGAAAGGCAGGAAAGGCAAATCCTACAAAATATGGTTTGTATCTCGGAAATACCAAAGATGATTCAGGCTAGACTGTGAATTAGGTTATGGTTATGCAGGCCATTGTTTGGCATTGGATACACCTTTAACCTAAAATTATGTTTTACATTATTGTTACCTTTCAGAAACCTCAAAGATTTGTAGAACTGGAAAAAAACCAGTTGTTTGCAACTTTTTTATTTCTCAACATTGTTTTTACAGGTTCAGCTCCCTGGATCAAGTTTACAGGCTGCTGCCCAGTCCTTAAATATACAGGTAACATTTGCTTTAACATCTGCATTGGACAAAATTACTTGCAATACTTACTGGTTTGTTTGTCATCTGGTAAGAAATGCTGTTCAGTATTCTAATTTTTTTGAGCTGTCAATTTTTGTCCCAAGTTTTATTACAGAATTCAGTCCACTAGAATTACATTATGAAATCTATCTAGATTTGGTGGTAATATAAAATGATCACTATTCCTATAATTTAAACCATTTTGAAAAATAATATATAATCATATGTAAAATCTAAAATTGTTTGCTCTTTACTGCAGTTCACGACACAATTGCATTATACTTCCTAGTGCTATAGTATTAATACCCACCAGTTGCTTCTGTTCATTAAAAATTCAAGCAGTGCCTCAAAGGAGGAAGAAATGTAGTATAATTGTGAAGTGGCTTCATTTTCTATGAGTGCTAAAGAACTAGGAGAGAGCATTCTTGAAATCTCCTAGAACATGCACCTAGTTACATATGATAATTTTGAAAGAAGGATAGATAGTGACCTTCCTCTCTAAAAGAGAGAGGCTGAAAATTGCTTTGGTTGCCATGGTAAACTTTCGGTCCCTGAGAGAGATGTTGGCAAACAGGCTATATCTCCAGTGCAGAATGTTTACAGTCCTGTGCTGTAATTATCTCTCAATGACTGGCAGAATTAATCAGAGCCTCTATGTTAATTAGCCTTCTCTGCAGTCCCCAAAACAGGTGGTGGAAATATGCAAATCTATGCAGAATTTTAATGTTCTGCATAAGCAGTTTTAATTAGCATAAACCCCCTCTTCTTGTTTTTCCTTTTCATGTGCTTTCTCGCATTTCTTCCCTCATGGCTACACTAATTTCTCCTTTTATGAAATAGTTTTAAATAAATGAACTGTGCTTGCCTGTATAAATACCAACTTTTTGCTACTTAGAGACAAGATCTGTACAGTGAACGTTTGTTTTCTCCCCCAGATGCAATTCAGTATGTAAGACTTTTCATGCTAATACCTTCTTAGGCTGACATCCTGTATTGGCCAGAGGTACTACTTTGATTTAAAGCTTCAGAAGTGCTGCTGGTGGTAATAGTCTTTCCTGTTGATAACAGTGTTGGGCAGCTCCATATGCTCAAGTACAGGGGGACTACAGGTCTGCTTGTGACATTTCAGCTAGGATGTTTTTGATTTGGATTTAGGAAGTGGATTTCATTCAAGTCCTTCAGACATCTCCTAACTGCAGTATATGTATGTGACAGGCAGCCCTCTCAAAAGCTTGCTCTAACGGTTTTTGGAAGAATAATTTAAAGTGACTCCCCCCTCCAGTTCTGATAAGCATAATACAGTTTCACAGACATAGTGTTAAATTACATTCCCTTGTATTGTCTACAGTTGTCTGTAGAAATAGAGTGGGGTCTTTTGAGCTTATTAAGTTAAACCAAAGGTAGAGAAGGTATTAATGTAGAATATGAAAATGGCTGTGTCCACACTGATAACTGCATTGATCTACAAAGATGTGTACATTTCTTTCCTAGTCTAAACCTAATGAAGAGTCTGGGGACAGTCAGCAGCCAAGCCAGCCTTCCCAGCAGCCTTCAGTACAGGCGGCCATACCCCAGACCCAGCTCATGCTGGCCGGAGGACAGATCACTGGGGTAAGACATACCCAAAGAGTTATAATGGGCTGGCAGTTTTTGTTGTTGCATTATGCAGTCAACAAATTAAAAGGCAATAAAGTGGATCACTGATGACTCCAGGCAAATCTGGAAGAAACTGAAGTATAAATGAAGTACATTATAGTTTCTTCTACATATGCCTGGAGTCTCTGATTGGTCATGGGACTGAGACCAGCCTTGTTTGCCCTGGTAGACACTCCATGCTCAGACACAGAATAAAGCATCTTGTTTATATGTTAAAATATTAATAAAAAGAAAGTTGTGGCACCATGAAGATCAGTGTCAGCTTTCTATCATAATAATAGAAAGCTGATACTGAATTACATCTGTTAGTCTTTAAGGTAGCACAGTTCTTTTTTTTTCTTTTTGTTATACATGCTGAAACAGACTAACACAGCTACTTCTTTTTGTGGAGGTCTCACTGACGTTTAAGATTTTGGATCATGATAGACTGCTGCTTGGTCTTTTTGGCTTTTAGGCCCAGTACAGTCGTGCCCCGCTTAACGATTACCCCGTATAACGACGAATCCGCTTCACGACGATGTTTTTGTGATCACAATTGTGATTGCAAAATGATGTTTTAATGGGGGTTTTTCGCTTTGCAACAATTGGTTCCCTCCTTCAGGAACCAATTCTTCACATTACGACGATCAAAACAGCTGATTGTCGGGTTTTCAAAATGGCCGCCGGCTGCTCAAAATGGCTCCCCGCTGTTTTTAGGAGGCATTTTTTGCAAGACAGGCACCCAAAAATGGCCACCGTATGGAGGATCTTCGCTGGACGATTAGGTATTTTGCCCATTGGAACACATTAACCGGTTTTTAATGCATTTCAATGGGGTTTTTTACTTCGTTTCATGACGTTTTCGCTCTACAGCGATTTCGCTGGAACGAATTAACCTCATCAAGTGAGGCACCACTGTACAGGGTTCATCTTTTAAAAATCTATGCAAACTGAGCCCATTTTTAATGGACAAGTACCTGTCCATGTATATGTAGGCTCATACCTTTAATATCTGTGGGAGAAGACAGTCTATCCATTATCATAAATATTTCCTAAACTAAAGACAGTCTTGGTCAGACTTCAGTTTCATGGAGTTCTATCTAGCAATGGTCCTGATACTGCTGTCTTTTATAAGTCAGGTGGAATCCCTACAGGGACATGGCGGAGGGACCCTCTGCCTTTATCTCTTAATTGAGGATTTTTTAAAAAGTGGTTTAAATATTCATAGCTTTCATTTGAGTTATGGTGATGGTTGTTGCTGTGGAGCCTGCTTTTGGTGGAAGCTTGCCACAATAAAGATGATATATATATATATTTATAAACAAAATGTTAAAATATTATCCTCGAAAGTGGGTTTTTGCTTTGCTAAGCAATACAGTGGTGCCTCGACTTACGAAATTAATCTGTATTGGACCAGTGGCCATAACTCAAAAATTTTGTAAGTTGAAGCACCATTTCCCATAGGAATGCATTGAAAACCAATTAATCCATTCCGGCCAAAGGAAAAAAAATCCCGGGCTTCCAGAGTTGCACCCGCTGCCCTCTACCTCCCATCCCTGTGGGGACAGGAAGCAGAAGGCAACAGGGACGGGAGGCAGAGGGCAGTGGAGAGAGTTTGGACGCCTGGGAAGCTGGCATCTGGTGCGGAGGTCAGGACGGCTTTTGGCTTCACGGTCTTCCAAAGCTGCACCCGCTGCCCTCTCCCTCCTGTCCCCACTGCCCTCTGCCTCCTCTCCCCATGGGGACAGGAGGCAGAGGGCAACGGGGACAGGAGGCAGAGGGCAGCGGAGGGGGGTTGGATGCCTGAGAAGCCAGCACCCGCGGTGGCGGTCGGGGAGGCTTCCAACGCCACCCTGACCACCACACCGGGTGCCAGCTTCCTGGGCTTCCAGAGCACCGGCACCCTGCACAGTGGTCAGGGCGGTGTTAGAAGCCCGGGATGCTGAGCCTCCCTTTTCCTAACCGTTGTGGTGAAGAAGCAGCCTCTTCTCCAGCAACAGTTTGAATTCCCTGCCTTTCTTTCCTGCCTTTTTCTGTTCGTAACTGGAAGTTCCGGCTGCAAGTGGAAGCAAAATTTTGCAGCCGAAGCTTTTTGTAACTCCAAATTTTTGTAAGTAGGGACATTTGTAAATCGAGGCTCCACTGTACGAAGGTAACCTTAGAAGCAGGCAGATTTAATGTGATGTGTTAATATAAATAGCTGTAGCGAATTTCTTTTTACATACTACTTTCTATGAAAATTAGATCTATCTTGCTCTATTTTTTATTTATGCTATGATCTGTTAGTTTCATTCTTGACAAATTTTGAGCTTCATGTCATTGATGTCACAGAGGCAACACTGACTTACAGAATTAGATAAAGGAAGATAACACATTGGTGTGTCTAATATGAGGACAAAGCCTTTGTTGTAATTATCAGTATGAGATTAATTGTTTGAATATTTTTAACAAAGTGGAGTTGTTAATGTCAGCAAACTCTGTTTTGCAGATGTTCTCTTTTCCATATACAATAGTGTTTTTTAGAATTGCTTTTTAAATTTCATATTGGATGAAGAGCTCTTTCTATTTAAGCTGTAAATGTTTGTTTTAGTTACAAAAACATGTGCAAAAACAATGGGTAGTAGATACAGATGCATTTCCTTTGTAATTTTGAAAATCTGAGATTTGAATGGGAAATTAGTGTCATTTCCTTCCATATGTTTATGAACATATGAATCACCTATATATTATATAACACTGTGTGGTCCAGGTAGCTCAGTATTGCTTGTATTGACAGATGATAGATCCTTCATGCTAAAATTATATAAATTACTTGTTCACATATATAGTGTGCTTTTATTGTAATTTGAATTTAATTCCTCATGGCTTTTTTAGGATAAGTTTATGTATCTATATGTGTATAACATGTTTTTGTGAAATCCATCCAAATATGCTTTGTATCATTTTGCCAAATAGCTCTTTGCTACACAGAGACTAGATCCCAGTGTTTGAAGCCAGGTCTGTGTTAAAACAGAAACAGAAAAGAATATTCATGTATTGGAGGGAGTCTGACGCCACCTGTTTCACAGAGATAATGTGTGTTTGGAAACTGGCAGAGATGTCAACCTACCAGCTCAATCCTATCAAAACAAAAAAGGCAGACAAAACGGTTGTGGGGGGCTTCAAAGAGAACAAATAGTGCACATGTTCCTTAGCTATATCTTAAGGCATAATGGAGATGATGGATCATGGCAGGGATTCATGCTAATGTGAAGCAGCTGGAGTATTATCTGTTTGTTTGGTAACCACAGCTAGTATTGCTATTTCTCATTCATCTGGCTAATCACTTGTGCTTCTGGTGGGTGTAAATTTCCTTTCAAAGCCTGTCAGTGATGGCTTGTTCTTTTTGCTTTCTATTTCCTGTCAGTGCTGTTCCTTTCCATTGCTTGCTTGCTAATTACCCCTTTCACATTTATCTTGAAGCAGAGCCATAGAGAGGCTTCTGTAATCCCAATAGCCATGCTGGTCATAATAGTAAAATTCTTATGCCAATATCATATTGATGATATGAAATTAGCTATACAAATTAATTTCTATCTTACCTGGAGCAAATAACTGCCCTTTATATAGGATAGCTTGCTCTATGAAAGCTGCTCAGAAATAAACAGTGATGTCTGCAAAAAGGGTTACTATTTGTGTTACTAACTACCATCCCAAAACTTGTTTCTAGCTCACGTTAACACCAGCCCAGCAGCAATTATTGCTACAACAGGCACAGGCACAGTTGCTGGCAGCTGCAGTGCAGCATTCAGCCAGTCAGCAGCACAATGCTGCAGGCGCCACCATCTCAGCTTCTGCTGCAACGCCCATGACACAGATCCCTCTCTCTCAGCCGATACAAATTGCACAGGTGAGCCTTCAAATTGTTGATGTTTTTGGTCTGACCAAACACATCTTTGTTTCAGTTCGTGGAGCAACCTGAGTTTACAAGTCACTGTGCTTGAATATACCATCTGCTTCATCTTCTGCTATCCAAAGACTGCACATCCCTATTGTGGAAAACTTTAAGTTCTCTTTTATGAAATAGACATGATCATCAACATAGCATATACCTTCAGTGAAATAATTCACAAATGGCCCTTGTGTTCATACATGCTGTCTTCCCTGTTCTGTTTGTATATTCCATTTTGTTTTCTCACTTCCTAATTTGTGCAAACAGTAACTTGCACAAATTGTACAAGCAATAACTTTGGTACATCATTATGTGCTTCAAGATGAGAACTGGAAAGCTGGAATGAGTTTCTGATTCTGGAAACTTGTTGCACTATCCATATTATGGTTGCTAAGACTGAATCAGGAGTACTCTTCCAGTAAATAATGAACAGTTCAACTGAGGAGAAACAAGTTCCATTTTCTGCTCATCAGATGACTTTGGACCAATTCCTACTGAGTCCTATAGGACTGGTGATAAAAACAAATGGGGAAGCATTTACATTGTCCTGGAGGAGGGTCAGATTGAACATATGTATAATCTATAAATTATTTTTTAGAGTTCTGCAAGTATTTCCATAGAAGATTAGAGAATATAAATTTCAGAAATGCTAGCTGTGCTTTGCTGAAATCAATTGCTGTTGGAAACCTATGTTTTAATAGAACAGTTATTGAATAGCTGGTTTATTTAGCCTGATCTCTGCATCAGAGAGACCATTACATTTTAATTAGTTAATTTTACATACATGACTTCTCTAATCATTTTCCTATTTCAATGGGAAGATGGATTAAAGCAGTGGTTCTTAACCTTGGGTTACTCAGGTGTTTTTGGACTGCAACTCCCAGAAGCCTTCACCACTAGCTGTGCTGGCTGGGGTTTCTGGGAGTTGCAGTTCAAAAACCCCTAAGTAACCCAAGGTTAAGAACCACTGGATTAAAGACACTTTTTAATAGCTACTAACAGGTTTTGAACCTTTATACCTCCATTCAGTTGATGTTAGTTTATAAACGAACTCAAACATCATTAACACAACAAACAAATATGAAACAAAGCATTTCTTAGAAATTTGTGGGAGAGAAAATGTGTTTTATTTTTATGACATGTTTGTTTCACTTCAGCTTTGGTGTTTTCATTTGTTTGTGTTAGTAGCTGTAGGGGGCTAGTTTTGTTGCATCTGAAGGCTCCCTTGCCAGCCTGCACAGGCTGTTGCTGCTTCCTCAAAATGATTCCCAAGGCTAGTTTTGTGATGTGTGAAATTGATAACCATGATTATTGGGGTTGGCTAATGCCCAAACCCCATGTTGTTCTATGTTTATTTCTCCCCCTCTCTCATTTCATTTGGAGATGGGCAAAAACCACTTTATGTCAGGTTATAAAAAGTCATCAGTGCAGCCGTTCATTCCCTACCACTCATCATCCAGTGTGCCTTGCTCTTCCTCTTCACACAGTCTTCCAGTCTCAGCAGGAACATGGACTTCCCTTCTCTGCCTCCTCTGGCAGCTGCTCACTCCAGGGCTGCACTGCAGGAATCTCTGCCCTGCTTCCTCATCTGAATGGGCAGCTGGAGGAGGAAAGTCTGTGCTCTGCTAGGACCGGAAAACCACGCCAAGAGGAGGGATGGTGAGTGGTGGAGTTGGCCATGGGAAGGCAGGTGCCATGCCAATGACTTTATACAATCTGGACAAAATTAATCATGCCCATCTCTGATTTCATTACAAATAAGTCCCTGCATAAATAGATGGGAGACCCACAAACATTTGAGGGGATGAAAGGGAGCTTCTGATGTCCCAGTTTGCTGTATCTAGGGAGGCAGATGTATGAGAAATTAGATATGGAATCTGTTAGATCCCTCTACTTGTATGAGGTAGCTGGTGATGTTGCTTGCCTTTCCATGGCTGCAACTGTTACTCGTTTCATCCCAGAACTTGGAACAGCTGTTTGTTCTTTAATTATTACATCTTTCTAAATCCTCCAGTCAGCATTAATGACACTATATATGGGATTTAGGCAGTTGCTGCTAGATAGCTCAGTGAGTTGGTGCACAGGGGTCCTGGACATCGGTTCCACACTGTGCCTGGTTAGAGAAGAACCCATGTGGTCTTGAACAATCTACATAATTCCAAGGTATGCCCAGAAAAAGGGAATGAGAAACCAACTCTGAGTACTTCATACCTAAAAATCCTGGAAAGTGCTGTCATAAGCTTGAATTCAATTGCTGTCACCTAATTATTAGTAGTAATAGTGAATGAGGGGTGGGAATTCTAAGTACTGCCTTTTTCAGCCCCATGACAGACAAGAGCAGCTACAGAGACTGTACAAGTCTGGGGTGAAGCAAGACATCAGTATTTGCTTAGTGTTGATTCGTTTCTGTTAATAAATATGATGATATGGCTGAAAACCTTCAAAGTTTGAAATCAGAAGTGGTGATGATGATGAGACCTAGAATCTAGAATGTTTCATAGAAATTTTCCTTTTGTTTGTTCCCAACATTTGTGCATAGATTCCCTTATGTTCATTCGTAGATATATCATGAATTCATCTTTGAAGAAAGATTTTGTTTCTAAAAAGGGGAGGGTTGAACATTTAGGTTTGGTTATCTCTTAATATATTTTCCTTCTTGAAGGATTTGCAGCACTTGCAGCAGCTCCAACAACAGAATCTCAACCTGCAACAGTTTGTGTTGGTGCATCCTACAACCAACTTGCAGCCAGCACAGTTCATCATCTCACAGACGCCGCAGGGGCAGCAGGGTAAGCAAGATATAATGAAGGATCTAATACAGATGTTTATACCAGAGTTCTCTGTTTTCAAGACATGTCTTTAATATGTTATATTGCTGGCAGACTACTAAACAGAGACATTCAGTATTCAAGTATTCACATTTTTGGAGAAAACCATTGTCCTTTTGATGACATCACATAATGAGTATGACTGTCTAATTGAGTAACATGGTCTATTTGAAGTGGAGGGCTGGACATCTTAAGTGTGATCATCAGTGTTCCTTCTGATTTTTCCTAGTGCTGTGCAGGGCTCTGACCACAATTGGAAGAAAATCAGCAGTAACATCTGTCTGGCTGCACAGGATCAATACAGTGCTGTGCACCTGCACACAAACACAACTTAGGTGGAACTTTGGTGATCATTTATTCTCAAATTCCAGCCACTACCAAGTTTTTTTAAATTTATTATTTTAAGACATACATACATACAAAACCAACAAAAATCTACAAGACAATCAAGAACATGTAAGACAGACAAAACATATAAGCAGGGAGGTATTTCCCATACCAATTTATCATTATATAAATTCTGACTACAACAGATCTTATACCCTATTCCCATATTACATCATAGTATATCCGTGTGTATCTACACATTATATTTCATATCCCTATTTCGAGTATCTAATTAAGTGTCTAACATCCTAAATTTATAATAAACTTTATGAATTCTCTCACCTGCATTTCCATCTATCCAATTCTCGTCATAAACATTTCTTATTTCATCTTTAAGATTACTTATTCAGCAATAAAATCCACAGAAGGCCAGTTCATTCATCAAAGATCTCCATTCTTATGAACAAAAAGATCTTATATATCTAATCTTGTCAACATAGTCACTATTGTAATTCACACATATTTGATATCTCAATATAGTGCCTCAAAAACAAAAGCATCCAATATTATTATTCATCATCAACATTTCTAAAATTCATAAATTACATATGTTTGTCTACCATTAAGATTCATACATGGCCAGAATTGCTTATAGTATATTACTCATGTTACTTTATATGTAAATATATATCTCTCAAACCCATGGTTTCTATTATTTATTCAGCAAGTAACTTTCTCCCTTTTCATTTTTGCTTATCAGCTCCCAGCCGCTACCAACTTTAAATTCCTTTGTAGTAGTCAGTTGTTCAACAGCAGCACTTACTTGAAGTGTGGCTATCTAACAAGAATGACTAATTGGATGACTGAGTGTTTCCCCAGAAAGTACCAGTGCTTCTAAGTTTGCCACAAGGATTTTAGGGAAAGAGAGAAATGTCTATTATTCCCACCAACATTATCATGGTTCCATATTGATTTTGCTTTCTGAAAGGGACAACAAAGAGCAGCATGAGAATGTCATTCCCTTCTTCGATGCATTATTTTGGGAGGCTGTTTTTATAAACGTGAGAGTTTCTTCCTCCACACTTTCTTTTATTTCAGTCCTATCTTTTCTGCTGTCTCCAGAGCTTTTTTGAGTATCATGACTATAGTGCTTGTTAAAGGTATTTAAACATAGGTAAAGGTAAAGGTTCCCCTTGACATTTAGTCCAGTCATGTCTGACTCTAGGGGGCAGTGCTCATCCCCATTTCCAAGCCGTAGAGTCAGTGTTTGTCCATAGACAGTTTCTGTGGTCACATCGCCAGTGTGACTAGACACGAAATGCTGTTACCTTCCCACTGTTTACCTACTCGCATTTATATGCTTTTGAACTGCTAGGTTGGCAGGAGCTGGGACAAGGGACGGGAGCTCACTCCATTGCATGGATTTGATCTCACACTGCTGGTCTTCTGACCTTGCAGGACAGAGGCTTCTGTGGTTTAACCCGCAGTGCCACCACGTTCCCCTAATTTAAACATACAGCTAAGTAAATGCATGTCTTAGTCATATGATACTTTACACCAGTCCGTGTTTCAGGAGCCATGTAATTTGCACAGCTTGGCTAATATTTCTCTTCCTGCTCTAATTGAGTTATTCTTGGGGAAGTGACATGTTTGAAATAGATTTTTGTGAGCAGTTGAGGTTTATGGGTACAGTACATCCTGGAAATGTAAGCTTTGTGTCCACTGGTGCCATTCTTCTGTAAAGCATGCTGATATGTATGTAAATTTGCTTATTAGTGTCTTCTTACTTAAGGTCTTCTGCAGGCGCAGAATCTCTTAACGCAACTACCTCAGCAAAGCCAAGCCAACCTCCTGCAGTCTCAACCAAGCATCACTTTCACTTCTCAGGTCAGTGTTCTCTTTTCTAAAGCTCTTTGTACTTATTTGGTGGTAGCAGGATGAAAAGATTCTTGCATGGTATGTGATAAACATTGCGAACTTCATTTTTCTAGAAAACCTCATAGTGATATTTCTCTTAAAATGTCATTGGTACTTCCTGAATACAGTTTCTAAATAAATGTGCACTTTGGGCATGAGTGTTTTGGTACAGTTCATGTATATGTTAAACAATATTTTCTACTAATCTCCAAATTATTGAAAAACGCCTTAACTTGCATCTAGAAAGCTGTCATCTCAAATGCATGGTTTTAATTTAAGGCTGTTTTTGTTTGGAGACATTAGATGCAGCTGCCAAATTAATCCACAACTAGCATTGTGTCCTTTGGAGGGGGGTCTGACTAAAAATGTTTTTTAGTTGACCAGGTGTAAACCCTTCCTCTGCTTGTCTTATATGTTCTTTCCCACTCACTTCACTGAAAGTGTAAATGTATATCCAGATAGGGATAATCTGTGTTTGTCTCAACTAGCCACCTAGAGTGGCCTTTTAGGCCAGATGGGCGGGGTATAAATCAATCAAACAAACAAACAAACAAACTTTGGTTTCCTTGGTGCAGTAATTGTGTTCCTAGCATCCTGAGAAAATTGGGAGAAATCCGCACATTAAATAGAAAAATTAAAGGCCTAAGAAGCTCATACAACATGTGTCACTTTAGAAATAACTGTATTATGTGAAAAGTGCTTTTCAGATATTCTTGATTGTTGGAGCCTAATTTAAAAGTTAATATAAATATAATTTTTCAGCAAGGAAACACATTTAATAGTAATAATTGATCTTTAGTTGTTGTTATGTTCTGTCAAGTCACTTCTGAACCATACTAACCCTATGAAAGTGACCTCCAAAATGTCTCAAATTTGGCTTTTGGTTAGGGTGATCATTATATACTCGATCCAGTATCCTGTTTTGCAACTCTGTATAGCAGAAAAAACATAGTAATCAGTGGCAGATTGTCGTTGATTGAAGACTTGTTTTCTCAGTTTCATTGTGTGCGTGGCTTTGTCTCATTGCATATGCACTGTGACCACCCTGAAATTGAAAAATAACAGGGGTGCAGGGAATGCTAATCAGATTTGCAGATGACACAAAATTGGGTGGAATAACTAATAACCTGGCAGAGAGAAACAAATTTCAAAATAATCTAGATAGACTTGAGCACTGGGCTGAAATCAGAATGAAATTCAACAGGAATAAATACAAAGTATTGTACCTAGGAAAAGAAACCAAACACAAAATTACAAGATGCGGGATACCTGGCTCAGCAATACTATGAATGAGAAGGATCTTGGTATAGTCGAAAGAGCCTCGTGGTGCAGTGGTTAAACTGCTGCAGCCAAAACTGTGCTCATGACCCAGGGTTCAATCCCAGATAGCTGGCTCAAGGTTGACTCAGCCTTCTATCTTTCCAAGGTCGGTAAAATGAGTACCCAGCTTGCTGGGGGGGGGGGGCAATGTGTAGCCTGCATAATTAACTTGTAAACCACCCAGAGAGTGCTTGAAGCTTTGCTTTTTTGCTTTGCTTTAGATCACAAGTTGAATATGAGCCAACAGTGTGTTGTGACTACAAAAAAGACAAATGCTATTTTAGGCAGCATTAACAGAAGTATAGTCTCCAAATATTGTGAGGTACTAGTTCCCTTCTATTCGGCACTGGTTAGGCCTCATATTGAGTACTGTGTCCAGTTCTGGACACCCCACTTAAGGAAGGATTCTGACAAATTGGACCAAGTTCATAGGAGCACAACAAGGAGGATTATGGGGCTGGAAACCAAGCCCTATAAGGAAAGACTGAAAGACCTCTGCATTTCTAGACTTGAGAAAAGAAGACTGAGGGGAGATATGATAGCACTTATGCTTGAAAGGGTGTTATACAGAGGAGGAGCAGGATCTGTTCTTGATCAACCACCTGACGTATATCCTTTCATTTGTATTCCTGCATTGAGCAGTGTGCTGCTGATACTGATGTCATTCCCATCATGCAGGTGGAACTGTGTAACAGGATATTGACCTATGAATGTATGCTAAAGATATTTATGGCTGTTCTATTTTTATGAAGTAGAGCTGTGCTTTACATTTACTTTCCTGTTTGTTTCCTCATATTATTAGCAGCCAGCAACCCCAACACGCACAATAGCAGCAACCCCTATTCAGCCACTTCCACAGAGCCAGTCAACACCAAAGCGAATTGAAACTCCCAGCTTGGAAGAGCCCAGTGATCTTGAGGAGCTTGAGCAGTTTGCCAAGACTTTCAAACAAAGACGGATCAAACTTGGATTCACTCAGGTAACATTGACATCCATTGGGGCAGTATAATGTTCATATCTGGAAGGAAGCTGTATAATTTTTTACAGTTAGGCATGATTTTTGGTATTGATTTATATAAATGACAATGGAGGGATTTGCAAATGTCTGTGTGATACATTTTAATAACTATTGGTCAGTCTTCCCCTGTCCAGTTTGGTGTTGGTCCTCTAAAAATGGAAAGATTTGGAACACAATGTTTGGATTCTTGCAATTAATGAAATTTTCTAAAAAACATTATTATGGATTTTTTGGGGGGTGGCACGGAATGGGACTGTAAGCCCCATTTTATGTCTTAACTGTGAAGTTCCTGTGATAAATATCTAAGTGTTCTGCATGTATGCGGGGTTCAGGACCCATATGAGAAGCATGTTCCAGCATTTGACATCATCCAGAACATTCAAAACTTAAGGAAGTTGTGTCTCAGCTTTTAGGAAGTATAACCTTCACCATCAGTTAGGAAATGACCAGTTATTCCTTGTTTTTGCAATTATTGATCTCTGCCACCAGTCAGAAGAACAATGGCTAAATGATGCAGAACCTTTACCCAAGAAAGGCCATCAGCAAAAGAAGAACAACTTGGCTACAGCTGGATAAAAGTGCATGTGTAAAACATACCACATTATTCTGGAATCTTCAGTTTCCTTCAGACTAGTTCGCTGAAAAATCCTTGGAAATCCTTTCTGATATACTTGCTAAGTAGATTGAAAAGAAAATGTGTTCATCCCTGTTTTGGTTTAGATGCTGCAGAGTGGTCCATTGGTCCAGATAGGCGGGGTACAGATCTAATTAATTAATTAATTAATAACAGTTCAGTCTCAGAATGCATCCAGAGAAGCATTTAGTCTTTGTCATATGAAAAATTGCAGTTGTGGCTGTTTCCCAATTTTCCAAACTTAACATATACCTGACTACTGTTGCCTTAATAACAACAACTGAAACAAATCAGTGAATGCTGAAGAGTGTCTCCCACCAGTACAAGACTCTAGCTTGGGCATCTGGAAGTCACTGAATAGAATTTGAAATGAACTAAGAAGATCAAAGAATAACTAAGTAAAACAGGGCCACTTGGATACAGGAAAAATGTTCTGTGACTGTGGAGACATTCAATCAATGATGCACTTACATGCATGTAATTTTTGCAACATTCAACATTCCAAAGCTAAAATGCTGACTCAGATATTATGGACATACCTCATTAATTCAAAGACAGCTGTCCTAGTTTTTCAAGGGTTTCCAGGCTCAACAAAAAGAGTTAGTTTTACTCTGATATTAAACTGTAAAGTCTTTATAGAATCTCTCAGTAACTGCCTATTGTTGTGCAGACCTGCTAATTCTCTGAGGTAATCTTAATATGCTTTTCTTCAGTTTTTTTTTCCTCATCATCTGAAAATAAGTTGGTGGTGACAGATGATTGGACCTTTCCTATTAGTGAACTAATGCTTTGGGTTGATGATTACCTTTTAAAGTGATTGTGTCAGTTTATCAATCTGGAGAAGCTATTTCAAAAAGCCCTCATAACCTTCTCAGGAAAAAGCTTCTGAGAAGACTTCCATGGTGATTAACTAACTTATATCAAACTCTTTTATGATGCCTTCTGCTGTATCTTTTCCTTATGTATGCATTTGTAAAAAAAAAAACAACATCTAAATTCTGTGGAATATTCTCTGCTACAATCCAACTTTTCTATAACCAGAATATAATAAAACTTGAGTTGTGGGCAGAAAGTCATCCTTCTCCTAAGCTGAGAAGGCATCTTCTAAGTACTTCTAGTATCTTCTAGTGATCTACAACTACGCAGTTTAATGCATTGGATGCCAAACAGCAGAATATTTACTTAACCATTCTATTGTACAAGCTATATACATAATTAATTTTTTAATGATAGTAGTTGCATAATTATGTAAGTGGTTAGTAATCAGAAAACCTAATTAATAAAGATTAAATTATCATAATGAGATTGCATGTCTCTGTGTATGCATGCCTGTGTCCTAGAATTCTTTGCCATAGTATGCTAGGTTACCTTTAGACTTGAAAAGATTTATTGTGTTGCCTTTTGTAAATAATTACTAGGTCCTAGCTCACACAGAAGACTAAATACTTACTATGGTCCAATTTTTCTTTGTCAGAAAGGGAATGTTACAATTTTTTTAAATGGCTAAAGCATAGGGTTTGTAATGTAAGTAGTATGTTTATTAGAATCCTTTGTAGTGTATCTGTTACATGAAGGAAAGTATTTGCTTTTTTATGCTAGTTTTTATTTTGTAAAATATAGCTATTATTTTGCTCTGTTGTAAGTTGCACTTGTGTAGGGAGAGCAATTTTCTGCCCTAGAACCTTCCTGTGGCTGCATTAGTTGCCCAAGATGAAGAAATGAAACAAGAAATGAAAATGAAAGTGTATAGAAGTTCATTGTCTGTTTTGAACAACTGGTATTATACATTACTAAGTAGAGTGGGGCAAAACCTGTGACCTGTTTGAAAAGTGACTTTTGCAGGAACAGCAAATCATCTTTCATTGGTAGAAAATGAGAGGTTCAAAGTAAGGTTGTGGCCACAAGAACCGCTTTAGAGGGCTGCAAAGCAGCCCCAGGGTCACAGTTTGCACATCCTTATACTATCATAAATAAATGGGTTTATGAGCATTATCTTCATACGTATGTTTTGTCTGCTTGAAGGAGCACTCAGGTCCTTACTTGCAGAGTTATTACTTCAGTCACAAGAGAACATGAAGTGTCACTGGATAATGATTATTCTCATTTGAACTCCAGAACTGGAAGATTTCTAGAATCTTTTGTGCTGAGTCAGTGATGCATAATCTTTTAGTAAATTTCGTTTCAAGAGACACTGAGTAGGTCAAGTTGCTGATAAGGTTACAAACTTCTGAAGGTGCTAAATGTGATGTATAAAGGGGCCTGTAAAAATGTTTTTTCTCGCCATCCACATTGGGTGATGTTGGGCTCACTATGGATAAATTCCTGGAAGTTACTTTTATCCCTGCCTTACCAACTACATTGCAAGATGGTCTACTGTGTGCCAGTTTTAAAAAAAACCTCGTGAAATTGTATTTATTATAAGGATATTTTAATTCAGCTGTGAATGGCCAAAATGGGAAACATTTTGGTCTGCTGCAGTTGTATCTGTTGATGGTTTTATTACAAGATTTAATTCTATATATGATTAAAATAGCAGCTGTCCTAACTGCTGGATAGCTCAGTAGTTTTGATCTTTGGCTATGGAGCCAGAGTTGGAAGTTCGATTCCCCACTGTGCCTCCTTCATAGGGGCTGGACTCAGTGATCCATAGGGTCCCTTCCAGCTCTGCAGTTCTAAGATGATGATGATAATAACTGTAGAGCTTTGCATTGTTTAAAATATGTTTCCTTCCCATCCATGTAGGGTGATGTTGGGCTCGCTATGGGTAAACTCTATGGAAATGACTTCAGTCAAACTACTATATCTCGCTTTGAAGCCTTGAACCTCAGCTTTAAGAACATGTGCAAGTTAAAACCACTTCTGGAAAAGTGGCTCAATGATGCAGGTGAATACTTGTCCAGTTTTTCTCAAGATATCACACTAGATCTCTGAAATGTACTGATTGGTGTGAAGAAGAATCCATAAAACATGGCTTACACCTATCACTACTTGAGAGAGAAAGAGAATTATAGAGCCTAAAGATTTCCTAAGATCCTGCATCTTCTAGCTCTGCTTCCCTTCCTGCCTTGCCCATAACAAGATGTATCTTTAAGGGCTGCCTTTTAATGTCTACTTGGTGATTCTTACTTCCAGCTTCCTGATAGCTGCTGAGATAGCTGCTGAGATATATTGGGTGGAATGTCAGAATAGGAATCTGGGGACTTGAGTTCGATTTCTTCTCAATGGCACAGTGAATGTCTCATGTACCTTGAAAACACTATTAGAGTTGCACCCAACTGGAAGTGACTTGAAAACACATGACATACACAGTTCTTCTTAACTTCCCCCTGTTTTGTTCTTTTTCTTCACTAATCTCATTTTCTTTTTAACTTCTGCCTGCTTAAAAAAACCTTCCCCCTTTTATTTTCTCATTCTCTTTAGTTGGTGTAGGAGGGAAGTGCATTTATCAATCAGTAAAACAAAAGGAAGAAGCCTTTAAAACTCTTCAAAGTATGGCAAATTACATATCAGCCACAAAAATCACACAAAGAGAAATCACTTCAGACACACTTTATGTCTTATTTGTGTCATTCCATAATACTTCATCAAGTTGCAAGCTCTACAGATGCACTGCTGCACATTGAATTAACCTATCATATTAACCTATAACATTTAAAATTGTGTTTCTTACATATAGCAGCTCACTTGACATTTGCAGCTTTTTGCCTTTATTAGAAATCAGTTAGCATGTACCTGTTACATTTACATGTCACTACAGGTAGTGAAGTATACATAGCACAGACTGTTTTAGCAAAATAGTACAGTGGTGCCTCGTTTAGCGATCGCTCCGTTTTACGGCAAAATCGCTTAGCGACGCTGTTTTTGCAATCGCAAAAGAAATCGCTTTGCGATGTTTCCTATGGGGAAAATTCACTTTGCGATGATTGCGGGGAATTTTCAGCCAGCTGATCGGCGGTTCCAAAATGGCTGCCAGGGGAAAAATGGCCGCCCGCTGTTTTGCCTCGCTTTAGAGGCACCGAAAATGGCCGCCGCAATGGAGGATTTTCGCATAAGGTTAGTTTTTAAGCCAATAGGAACGCATTAAACACGTTTTAATGAGTTTCTATGGGCTTTTAAAAATCACTTAGCGATGTTATAGCTTAGCAGCGATTTTTGCTGCACGGATTAACATCGCTAAGCGAGGCACCACTGTATTTCAGAGTATGGGCTCCAATTATTAAGCAGTGGCAGACTACTCTTAGCTCGGGTATGTCCCATTGTTTGGGAATTCCTCTTCAACATCAGCCAAAGAATGGAATGTTGCATATTCTCTGCTAAGGCGCATTCTGGGTTGGTGTACAGGAAGAATCTAATTTCACCCAGAAAATGGCTAAATTTTCTGTGCATTCATCTACCCATGTTCAGAGGAGCTGATCCTCATCAAAGGAGGCTCCTATTCTGGTATTTGTGTACCTTAATTTCTTCCTTTTGTACGCTTTTGGTCTTCCTCCTCTAGTTATTTAATTCATTTGCTTGATCAGGAGAGGAGACTGCAAAGCAGAGCTTAAGGTCAGATCATTGCCTGCTTTTTTGTTGGTGATGGGTATAATCCTGCTCTTTGTGGATTCTTCTACACCAAGCTAAAATGAACTTTCATGGTGAGTATACAGGGTCCCAGCCTGAAATCTTTGCTAGCATGCTCTTTGGATGCTGAGTTAGGCTTTGCAGTACTTATTACAAAGATTCTGAATCATTTCAGTCACAAGGAATATGCAAGACAAGCATCTGTAGTTATCAGTGTAATAGATTTTTCAAAACGGATCTTGTACAGTACAATCTCTAGTGCAAAAACAATTATACATCTATAGCATATTTTAAAAGAATTTTTGGGGTTTTTTCAAGGTAACTCATATAATCTCTTGCTTTGCCATCTTTTATTTTTAAGTCTATGTGGTGTTGAAAAATACATGAGCAAAACACATTGGTTGGAACACTCTAAACAAGTTTGCAGTTATATTTGATCAAGCTTGATTTTCCACAGCTCAGGGAATTGCATTTAACTTAAGCAGAAGATGTATATCACTGCTGTTTGCAACTGTTAACAGTGTGTCTGCTGTAGAGCCCATCGGTTTGGATCCAGAGTGTCCCTTCTTCTTGTAGAAGAGCAGTTTTTTCCATTAGATTCTCCCACAGGTGAATATGGAGATCATTTCCAGAGACTTCCCTGCAGTCCCTCTGTGCCAGTACTACACTATTTCCTGTGGTCTGGAGCCAGGTTTTGGAGGGATAGTGGATTCTCGGAGAGAGAACAGGCAAATATTGTCTGTCATGCCCTCTTCTGCTGACTTAATATGAAACTGGCTTCAGAATCAAGACTTTTGGAATGTGGATGCAATAGTTTAGGCAGATGTGGTTAATTAAAACCTTTTTGTAACTTCTATTTATAATACAGTATTTTAGTTACTAAGATTTACATTAACTCCTTTTTTAGAAAACCTCTCATCTGATTCAGCACTCTCCAGTCCAAGTGCCCTGAATTCTCCAGGGCTGGGGATTGAGGGCTTGAACCGCAGGAGAAAGAAACGCACCAGCATAGAGACCAACATACGTGTGGCCTTAGAGAAGAGTTTCCTGGAGGTCAGTAAATACATTGCACAGTGTTATTTTAGAGCGTTCTTCTTTAATGGCTGTTGTGATGTTATAAAACAGTATATGATAAAATGGGGGAAATGTTAAAGAACGTTATTAAATGCTGTAACTGTGTCAACTGATACAGTGCATTCAAATATCCTTTATATTTCTCATGGAATAAGCAAAAGATGAGCTGTTTTCAAATGATGTCTTTGTCAGAACCAAAAGCCTACCTCGGAAGAAATCACCCTGATAGCTGACCAACTGAACATGGAGAAAGAGGTGATCCGCGTTTGGTTCTGTAACCGGCGCCAGAAGGAAAAAAGGATCAACCCACCCAGTAGTGGTGGAACCAGCAGCTCACCCATCAAAGCAATGTACCCTTGTCCTACTTCATTGGTAAGAATTAGAAGCCAGTGGAGTTATGATACACTGAGAGAGAACACTGTCTTCTCTTTTTGCTAATGAGTTTGACCTGCAAATTTTGAAATCTGAAGTTTGTTCAGCATTATACTAATACAGTACCTAGTGTTCCACTTTATGCATAATAAATAAAAGTCACATACCTAGTTGGAGCATCCCTTTGGTCAAGCAATAGCTAATACATTGTTTGAGCACTCTGAAGGGAATTGCTTTAGCATAGTATTCTTAGACAGAAATTCATGATTTCCTGAATACAGCAAACAGCAGTAACGTAGTCCTTGGCTTTACCTAGTAAACTGCTAGTGCTATGTAAAAGCATGTATTTGGCACCTTATATTGGTAACTAAGGAAAAAAAGATGATATGTGAACCTTTTCTAAAGAGTTCAGCCATTATATTCTGACCTCTAGGTGGCAACCACACCAAGCCTTGTGACAAGCAGTACAGCTACTACCCTGACTGTCAACCCTGTCCTCCCTCTGACCAGTGCAGCTATAACTAGTTTGGCAGTCACAGGTAAGCCTTGTATTTTCACCTGCAAAATGATGACAGTAATCGAGTTGATTTGTAGCACAATGGCATTTTTGTATTGTGTTGCTCTGGTCATTACTCAGTTTTAACACATTTTTGAGTAACAGCTCAAATGAGAGGACTCTCTTCACATGAGGTACACGTTTATAAAAATAATAATTACGTTATAAAGAAACAGAATTGCAGAGCTGGAAGAGATTCCAGGTTCATCTAGTCCAACTCCCTGCCAGCACAATAATCTATAGCTAAAACATCCCTGACATGTTGCCATCTAACCTTGCTCAAAAGCCTCCATTAAAGTCCATTACCTTCTTGGGTAGCTTGTTCCACTGCCATCCAGTTCATGCTGTTATGAAGTTTTCTCTCTGTGTCCCTTGTTTGTTCACTTGTCTGTCATTAGAATTCAATGGACTAGGCCCTATCCTCTGGAGCAGCAGAAAACAAGCTTGCTCCATCTTCCTTTGAAGCAGTGGTGTCGAACTGTGGCCCTCCAGATGTTCTTGGCCTTCAACTCCCAGAAATCCTGGCCAGCAGAGGTGGTGGTGAAGGCTTCTGGGAGTTGAAGTCCAAGAACATCTGGAGGGCCACAGTTCGACACCACTGCTTTGAAGGCTTTTAAGTATCTTAAAAGTGGCTATCACTAGTTAATGTTTTCTTCTCCAACCTAAATATATCCAACTCCCTTAACTGTTCTTTTCAGGACTTGGTTTCCAAAGTCTCACATCTTCTGTATGTTTAGAATACACAAAAAGACATGGAGATGGCATAAGTAAAATGTATTCTACAATCATTGAACCACTTAATGTTCAGATTCCCCCTCCTTATCCTTCCTGTCATGTCATGGCTCTTAGGTCATAAGCTTAAGGGCAAGCTTTGTTTGTTCTACTGGTCTGAAAACTCTTATAGGAGAATTTTTGGCTGAAGATATAAACGCTTTAAATCATCGTCAAGATGGTTTAGAGATGAGCAGTTTCCCAATATCATCATTTATCTGATTTCTAAACCATGTGTTCCAGAAGATCATATCTAACTTAACCTTCTAGCAATGGAATATGCAGCACAGGTAGATATTTTAGTGCTATTCCATAGAATCCTATCTTGCAATCTGTTCACATAGAGGTCAGACTTCAGCTGCAGAATTTCCAGATGTAGTTGTAGCTGTAAAGAGTACTGTAAGACTATGAGACAGAACTTACAGAATTAGAATCCTGGTTCAAATCTCATGTCTTCCACAAGTGTTTCAATTTCACCCTCAGTGCCGCTCTTTGGCAACATGGAAGAAAATAATAGTGGTTTGATTCTACAGATAGCATGAGCAGAGTTTTGCTCATAGGTCAGCTATGCTTGTGGAAAGCAGTGGGAACATTTTTTGTGAATTTTCCTGCACATCCTTGTGCTCCTGAAAATGCTGCTCCAGAGGATTGAACATGAACAGATTTGAAGCAGAAGATCTGTGCCCATCTGTCAGGCATGTTATAATAAATTCTGTGTGCTGATAAGTGTTTGGACTATATGACATTTGAGGTACCGTATTTTTCTATGTATAAGACGGTACTTTTTTCCAAAATCATTACGCTAAAAATTGAGGGGCATCTTTTAATGGAAATAAGCTGAGATAGCTGAGGAGAGAACAAAATGGCACATACCTTGTCTCTGTAAACAGGCTTCCTTCAGTCACAAAGCTTAGCTTCCTACGGTTAGGAAACTTCGCTTCCTCGAATTATGAGCCTTATAGAACTGACGTCAGCTGATGCTGAACAAACCAGTTGGAACACACCTCATTGGAGGTGAAGCCTGTAGGCTCAGATTCAACAGAGACTCCTAATATCCAACATTCTGAGCCCAGAGGCTGAATACTCAAAAGCTAAGCTTACTTAATTTTGGGGCTAGAACAGTGTGGGGGGGGTGTTGTCTTATTAAAAGGGGTGTGTTATAAATGGAAAAATATGGTACTTTCTGCTTTCAACTTGGAACAGAGACTTCTTAGTCTTATAGAATGGATTTCTCAGGAAGGCCTATTTGATCCTCTACTGATGGCTTTTGTTTACAAAAAAAGAAAGAAAGAAAGAAAGAAAAGGGTCTAAGCATAACTGGGCAGTTTTGGGTTTGAATGTACTCATGTCCTAGCTATAAATTCTGTCAAACTAGGTTTGTTCAAAATGAAAAATAAGCAGCATTTTAATATCTGGTGACAAGCGATGGATGAGGTCTAATTAGAGCTAAACCATATATACATTTTACATCTCAGTGAAGAAGAGCCAGCAACCATTTACTTCCTTGATTAAGAGTCAGATTGTGGCCCTTTTATTTAATCTTTTAGTTGTGAATGCCATAGTGCATCATATAGTAGTTTTAGGTTCCTGTTTCCTCCCCCTGAACATGTAATCTTTTTCTGTCTGGCTGCTTTAACTGTAGTCAGAGACTCACTCTGATTTGGTCATATCTCCTGTTTGAGGATAATGTGCTTCATCCTTGTATTCCATATGAATGCCGTTCGTTCCTCTTGTACTCTGGCTTCAATATAGACATGGACTACTTCCAGGCACATCAGATATTTTAGCCCTAATTAAAGTCATTATTTCAGGCCCCACAGAAACCATCCCCAACAATACAGCAACTGTGATTTCTACAGCACCTCCAGCTTCCTCAGCAGTGACTTCACCTTCCCTGAGTCCCTCTCCTTCTGCTTCCGCTTCCACCTCTGAGGCATCCAGTGCCAGTGAGACCAGCACAACGCAGACAACCTCCACCCCCATGTCCTCAGCCATTGGGACCAGCCAGGTGATGGTAACTGCTTCTGGGTTGCAAACTGCAGCTGCTACTGCTGCACTACAAGGAGCGGCACAGTTGCCTGCAAATGCAAGTCTTGCTGCAATGGCAGCTGCAGCAGGACTAAATCCAGGCTTAATGGCATCTTCACAGTTTGCAGCTGGGTAAGTAGCTCCCATTTTAAAAACATGTCTGAGAAGTGGTAAAGACAGTGTGCAGAGTGCCAATTATTTTGGTTAATCATTCATCACAAACCAATATCCAATGCTTTCAGGGCCTTCGCCTAAAAATAAGTCATGTTTGGAAACAGAGATCTTTAGTTGTTAAACTAATGAGGATGTGTTAACAATTTTCAATTGCAGAAATGTTTAAATGCTTTTAAAAAGAAAAATATTTAAATTGTGTTTCAAATAAACTTATGTGGTTGTATACATTTTATACTTCAATTGTGTTTGCGTTGCTTAAACACAATTAAAATAAAAAATGTATACAGGAACATACTTCTGGTAAGCTACCATGGATCTCTTTCTCAAGACTGAATGCTTAAATAATTCCTCCCCCACCCCCCCAAACTCTAGGGGTATAAACCTTTATGTATTTCATTCTTGCAGGTGAGAATGAAACTTTTCAAAACTCTTCTCCATGCTGGGCAAGGTTTCATGTGTTTTTGTTCATTTTATGCATTTTGACACTTTTTGGAGAAAAATTCACAGGTTTGATTTTGTTGGGGGCTTTTTTGCACAAGAGGCTGATATTTTCTATCCAAAAAATAAGAACAAAGCCCAGTTGCTTCTTGCCTAAAATACAAAAAGTAAAGGTTTTTTTGTTTTTGTTTTGTGTTTAGCTAATTCTGCTGCTGACAGAAAAATGGGCTAGTCTTTTATTCTCGTGTATGAGCAGCGTTTCTTGTTGTAATTAACCATTTTTTCAGCAGGATGTTGGTATGCTGAGACACCATTTTTCATCATGAACAGGAATATTTGTGGGTATTCATTATATCCTTAATTCTTACAAACATTTCTACACAGCTTTTTCTTTGTACAGATGCTAGTCTTCATCATTTTTAAAAACACACAACTGGTATATTGTGTGTTTTTAAATATTACAGGCCTACTTACATGGAATCTGCCATAATCCTTGTGGTTAAACTACAAGGAATATGTAGATCTGGACCTTAAATCCTGTCTTTGTGTCTAAAAGAGCCCTTGTGAACAATTAATAGTCTCCAAGTTGTTTTTCTTTCTGCTTTGGAATTGCAGAGGTGCCTTACTCAGTCTCAATCCAGGGACACTAGGCGGTGCTCTCAGCCCAGCTCTGATGAGCAACAGTACACTGGCAACTATTCAAGGTCAGTAAACTGCACCATGTATTGAACCCTTTTACATTTATGTTTCTGTTTTCTCAAAAATAGAAGGTCAGAGCTGCAAATTGTTAGCATACCTGAAAGGTCCCACTGAAACTATGGAAATAGGGACTTATTTAATGAATATAAAATTTGGTTTACAAATATTCATCTCACCCAGCCTCAAAGCTGAAGGGGTTATAACTTTAAAGTACATAAAAATATTTAGCCCCCATCATCTTAATTTGTCTTCCAAAAGCTAGTGAAATAATCCAGTTTTACAAATTCAGCCATGCCATGTTATCAGGCTTGGACTTTGGAGGAAATTAATTCTCACGAAAGGAAAATTCCTCATGTTAGTTCCCTGAATGATTGCAAAATCCAGGAAGAGCTAGATCTGTAATGTGGGCATTCTACAACTTTGTTATCTGAAGAGTTGAAAACAATGTCCTAAATTTCATCCATTTGCCATATACATAACTTTGTCTTGTCTTGTTTTATTTGGAAAAAAATAGCAGAGATGAAACTCTCCTGACAAATCTACTGTACTTTGCCACTGGGATATGATTTTCTTATAGCCGATATTGTGTATAGGGACAAAAAATGGCCATGCCATTTTTCAGTAGGCTATGTTGTCAGGAAGTTGAAGTGCCATGCTCTGGTTGTCAATAGGTTGGTCCAATTCAAAAGAATACGTATTGGAATTTTCATTGTTTTAGGAAATGGAAGTATATTGAAACCCAACTATGATGTAAGAGCAAAACTTAACCCAGTGCTCACCCCAAGTACCCTGTAATTCCCACTCAGTGCAAGTTATATATTTTGATGCATGGGGTTTCAGAGGTGGTTGCATAACCGGGTGTGAGCAGTCATTGAGACTCTTCATTCTACCATCTTTCATTGCAAGGATTATGAAAGGAAAAAGAGTCTCTCAATTAATCTGGATTCTCGGCATATGAGTGATCCTAGAAACATTCTGGAACTATTGGCCAAAGGAAAGTGGCACTCCATCAACTACATTTGATTTGCCTGTGTCCAGTGCCAATCAGTGCAAGAAGCCAAATTCCAAGATTGCAAGACGTGGATTAGATGAAAAGGAGGTGTAACGGCCTCCTTCTACCTCACAAAGGAAGGTCGCTACGTCACTCCACTGTTACTCTTCTGGTAGTCTGCCACCAACCATCCCCTGCAATAAGTATCTTCAGGCCGGAATGGATTTCAAACAAAATAACTAAAGTTTATTGATTGGTACATTAAGATTGGTATAACAAATAAATCAGGTAATCACATAAAGAAAGGCTCTAGCTCACACAGACTCATATCTCCACACAATCTGATCACTATCTCATCTCAACACTCACAGATCCTGATCT